GTTTCCAACCTCCTTTTTTCCTCCCCCACCCTGTCCCCATCCCTAACATTTTACAATGCGGTAATCACCCCCAGCCCAGAAAGACCATATATACAGCTAACCATCTACCACCACAATTTTCTGGTCTATGCCTACAGCATTGCAGTGTCGGATCTATAAATTCCTAACGTGCTGGGTAAAAATAAAGCCAGTGCCATTGTCCGTCCACCGTCCGTCTCAAACTGTAAGCAAACGTCCAAGACGGCAGTAACTGTTTTGAGCCCACTCTGGTTTTATTCGCTCAATTTTATTTCGTGCCCCTGCGCCCTGCTCGGCTGCCGCATACTTTGAGTAGCATGCGCGAGCCCCTATTCCTATGTGAAACTGGTTCTTTAGAAATCGCCCCAGGCTTCAAGCTGTGTGAGTCTTGACCAAAGAAGAAAAGATTTTTTCGTGGTCGATATTTTCAGCAGGCTCTTTATAACTGGGCATCGGTAACTGCTTAGTATTTGTATAAGGCTTCGTGAGCTTGAGTGTTGATAGTTAGTCGTGGTTACCGCTGGGCTGGCGAAATCACGTGACCAACCCGACGTCACAAAATGGCGAACGCGTTCAGCGTCGTGGTGTTCGAAAAGTGAAAGTCGGATGAGAGTATTTTCGCTTTTATGAAGGTAAATAGCCTTTGAAAACTTGATTAACTTTTATGATATAGTGATATTCATGAGTTCAAACGGTTTTTATCTTACTTGGTGGTCTGTTTCTTTTAGGGAACCCCGTTGGTAGGTGGTTGTCAACAGACGCCAATACTTATTTCCCCTGCATAGCATTCCACTTCGACCGATATTCCACCTGCTCGAGTCTGAGTAAGATAAGGTAGGGACCTCCCTCTCTGACCATGTTTTATATCAGTGTTTCCAGTTAACACAGACGGCTTTGCCATAATTTATCTTGCTGTGTTTAAGGTAATGACCTGCTTTATTAATCAACCTCGTCAAGTTCTCACAGTCACAGCTGATTGTTTATTTTATAATATAATAGGCTAAAGCCTGAAACATAATATAGGGGGTTAAAATTGATTTTTTTTTCTTTCGTTACGCTTCTGCGTTATCGGATTCTATGGAGCAGAGCATTTCTCAACCGTAGCTTGTTTTGGTTTTAAAAAATATTTTTCCCCATGTAGATTTTATACTCTCTTGGGTAAAAGAATTTAGATTCTAGTAAATAAATGAACTGTAATTATAATAATTTAATAATAGGATAAAACTGTTATAATAATAATTGTTTATTATATAGGACAGGTGTACATTGTTATGAATTGAGTCAAGTGACCTATACTTCATATAATATTAGATGTAGTTGACATCAGCTAATAATTTCACATGTTTAATTTAATTAATAATAAACTCAAACTCAATTACATAAAAGGTACCGCGCATGATGAGGAGTACTTGTTTTACAGATCTAGGAGCCTATGGAATGGTTTGAAAAGAAGTGGCACTACAGACAGCCTGTGCTGTTTTTCTTTCAGATGATTAATTGTGTTACAGGTTTGAAATAATTATTTGTTTCCCGTTTTGGGGATGGCGCTGTATTTCCTATTGTTTGATTCAAGCATCTGTGCTTTAATATGTTGGCTCTTTTTTCTGCAAGTATGCACCCCCCCCCCCACTTCCCCCCCTCAAAAAAAGCAAAAATAAACAGCTCCTGTTGATTTGCTTGTTGTTGTTTTGTTTTTTTGCTGTTTAAAATTGTTGTTGTTGTTTTTTTTCAACATTTCCAGGATTGTAATCAATGTCTTTGAAATAAATCTGGTTTTTTTAAAGTAAAATAATATTTTTATTTCATTTTCTTTCAGGAAATTATTGAAAAGATGGAAACAATTGCAGGTTTAAACTCAAGGCATGATGTCATTGTCTTCAGAACGCTGTGAGAGTGTAATGCCTCTTACTTGTTACAACAGTGTCCGTCAATTGTTTTTCCACTGACGTTCACTCAACCAAAGTAACATCATGGGTAACCTTCACTGCTGCTTTCAAGACACTGATGAAAGTGCTTGGAAGCAACAGAACAAGGAACTGGGGCAGAACCCAGCCTACAGCTTTGCGGATCTTGCCAAAGGAGGAAGACTGATTGAAGCGTACGACAAAGAAGGCCCGGCAAAAGTTGAGGAGATTGCTATCAACGAAATGTCATCTTTCTTTTATCACGAAAATGGAGACAAGCATAATATATCAAAAGAAGAATTTCTACAGTGGCAGTGGAAACTCACCCAGAGAATAAAGGTATATGTGGAAATAGGTGACAGTTTTTCTGCTATGGTTTATTGTAGTTTGTAAAGCATGTTTTGAATGGGACTTCAAATATATGTGTGCGGAGGCTACTTTATTATTGGTGCTTATTTCCTGGGATGTTTCTCTTCTACAACACTATGAGCATTGTTTTTTAGAACTGTTACTTCCTTGGTGAGTGGGACTAAAGGCAAAACAGTTGCCCTTTGTTGAGAAAAGTATGGTAATTTTGAACAGGTGGTTGCGGAGGACAGTCTCATTATAATACAAAAAAATGGCAATGGGGAAAATAGCAAGTGTATTCATTTGTACAGGTGATTGCCTTGTACGGTACACATCATATTTATCATTTAAGGCAATTTTGAGTATATTGTTGTTTATGACAAGAATAGGTTTGTAACTTTAAAAAGTTAATGATATAAACGGAGATGAAATTTCTTTTTCTCAAAATTTTCTGCAAACTTCCCCAGGGTTTGGACGACACTGAAAAGTTGTCATGTGAAAAATTAATGGAAACCTACGAAGAGGATTACTTCAATAAATTCACTCCTCATTACGCATGCTGGGATCTGAATAAGCGTGGTGGTGTTGGGGAGACACCGTTTCATCTTTTGTACCTCATGGATTCGCCGATCCATTTTGAGGTTGCAAGAATTCTGTTGAAGCTCTACCCTAACCTGGCTCTGGATGTTTACGAGGGAGAAGAATACTATGGTGAGTAGATCTCTAGCTGGAAGCTAAATGTTCTGAGTGTCTGTGTTTCATTGATCACCTGTCTCCCATTAACATGGTGGCTGCAGGTGGTTGGAGGGCATCACCACTGGTAGGTTCTATTTCTTTACTTACCCTCTGTTGTGTCTGTCTGTCTTACTTTTCTCCGGCGTTAAACGACTTTTAGTGTGTCGATGAGCTGCTCTTTACTCATTCAAACAAATACCATGGCCATGTTCCTATTCGACTCTTGTTTCTTTATTTGTTTTTTTTTACCTTTTCTCGTTTGTTAACAATCAAGTAATTCTTAGGCGTCTCCCATAATATGGTGCTAGGCCATGAAATGGTATGGTTAGATATTCTAAACTTACTGCTATTTTGTCCCATAGAATATATGTGACGCATGCTGACAAAATGAGTTACTTCTCGCAATCCACAAATGGAGATATTGGCCAAAAATCGACATTAGGGTCAAACTTGTAGATTTTCAATTGATGCCATATTTTTTTACTATAACATGTCTTTTATTGTTTCATACTTATAAACTGTAAAAACTTCACCTATAAACGTGATTTATCTATTTTCTTAAGGCTTGAATCAAAGAAGTAACTCATTTTGTCAGCACACTTCACATATTCTCAGTGTCTATGGTTGTGGAGGTAGAAGTTATGCTCTGATGTGTTTGAGTTGAAGACAGTAGAAAAAACTGTGGATGTCTTTCTCGTCAGATGGTGTTCTCGTGGGATCACCGTGGGGTGGATGTATTTCAATTCCTTTTAGGTGGTACAGGCCTATCAACATTTGTAGTTTAGCTGAAAAAGTTCTGGGAAATTCTGCCTTTCCTGATCACAATAGCGCACTATCTCCATTTTTTTTTTTCATTTATTGTCAAGGTTACTCTTTTCTGTGCTTTCTATAATGGAAGTGGATTTTTGGTACAGTAAGTTATATTTTTATTTTTATTTTGTTATATGTTTCCACACACTTACACAAACACAAACACACACACACACACACACACAAACACACACACACACACACACACACACACACACACA